AGTGAACTAGGGTTCTCAAAATGCCTGCAAGGTAGTAGCGCAGTGCATGCCTACACAAACCACGTTTTTGCTGACTGAACCAACATAGTGTATCCACTACGGAATGACCACAAAATAAATTATACCCGCTGTCCCAAGTTACCCACACAGTCCCAAAGTAACCCCTTCTTACAGTGTTATTTTTCGATAGGAAAACTACTAATTTATCAAAGCTATTAATTATCTGTATGCATTTTTGTCAAAGTTGTAGTCAGCGCTGATATCTCTGTGTGTGTATTATTAACTATAATAAGTTAGCCCATTAACCATGTTTTTAATACCAAAAATATTTTTTCTTTTCTCCAGGTTTTGATTTTTCTTTCTATAAGTAATGTATATATTTTTTTGTTTTTTGTTATTATTATTCAAATTTATATATTGTTACAATTTTATAAAGTTAGTCTTAGATATGTATTTTTTTATTTGGTCTTCATTGTTATTCTGAGAGAACTTTGTCCCAGAATTAAGTTTCTTTTCTACTCTAAAAAAAAATTATTCTAATACTATTTTCATCTTGACGTCTGATGACCGCTTGCCTATAATAAGACAGTATTTTCTGCAATCGGAACTTTTCTATTCTTTATTCTCATTCATACACCATACATTTGGAACGATCTGCTGGATGTTCACCCAATCAATTCATGCATTTTGGAAGACGATTTTCACATATGTCAGATTTGTGTGAATTTTCTCCACACTTCCCACAATAATAAATTTACAATATTCTCTTTTGCATATATTTAGAATACAAAAACAAAATAGTGGCTTTTGTTAATACCGTCTTTTTCTCATGGTCATCAAATATATATAAAATAACTTTTGGGAGTTCATTTTTTTAAAAATTCAATATAAATAAAGGGGTGGCTTTTTTGTCATTTATTTATTTTTTAATTCTTTTTACATTTATAATCCCCTGATTCTCAAATTCTGATATTATTTTATTCTCAGAATAATTAAATAATTCTGGAACGTACGTGACCCTAATTGAAAAATTAAGAGATTTATGTTGTGCAAATATAACTGAGATATTTTGGAATGTTCTTTTTATTTTTGAAAATCAATAGTAAGTTCCATGTTTTCATGTAAGTTCCGCTTTAATCCATGGGTAAGTTTCTCTTGTTAACAAGTTTGAAATTTTTTATTTCAAAAATTCATAACCCCGTCGAAATGTAACCCCTGAAAAATTCAAAATTCTGTCAACTCAAAAATTTTGATGACACAATTAGCGCCATGAAATTTCATTCTGGGCACACCTGCCAAGTCAAGCAATAAATGTTTTATAAAAATGTTATTGAATTCTCTATTAATATTCAGTTTAGAGAAAAATAAAGCAAATGAATGTGGATTAAAAGATAATGATTGATGAAAGGGAAGAACCAAATACATAAAAATTTCTCTATTTGAAAATTATTGTTTTCAAGTCCATATAGAATTTCAAATCCCCAGATGCCAGGAAACGTTGTGTCCATCAAAGATGTGAGAGCGCTACTTACTGGCAGCCAAATTAAAACTCAAAGCTTTTTTACCTCCCGATTGTATACTCTACAGTATACAGCTATTTCCATGGAGATAATTGTCATAAATGACATTATAGTGTATTCAGCTTCTTTTTATCATCAGCTTCAATTTGATACCTGATAGAACTCATTATGTTCAATAGTTTATGAGAAATGGTCTTTCAAAAAATCTCTTTCTGGAATCAAACTGAAGCTGACTAAGTACACTACAGTACTAGTTGACTCATTGTAAATAATAGTTTGAAAATACATGATTAAAACAGTAAACAGTCCCTTACCAATGCACATCCTAGGCCCTTCTCCAAATGGCAGATAAGTGTAAGGAACAATGGAGTCTCTGTTTTCTTGTGAAAATCGTTCAGGATCAAATTTATTTGGATTGGGAAAGTACTGAGGGTCATGGTGAAGAGACCAAATGGGAATTACAACGAAAGTATCCTTCTCTATTTTCTGACCAGAAGGAAGTGTCATAGACTTTGTGCATTGCCTATTTAACTCTGGTACTGCAGGGTACTTTCTCGATGTTTCTGAAATGAAATAATAATTACATTTGTTATCATTACCTATGAAAAACATTAATTCACAAAACAACATACAAAACGTATTAATTCATAAAATAAAACTTATTAATTTCTTTATTTAGATTTTAATCACTTGAGAATAATAATAATTATATCAGTGAGTAATTTTGAACCACTTCTTATAAGTAATAATAAGAAATGGATAAATATAAACTATAAATAAAATTTATAATATCGAGGAAAAACAATTTATTTTAATCCTTGTACATTTACTTAATGCTTTAATTCATTCCAAATTCTTGATGATGTTTTGGGAATTTTTGCCCATTTTCGAGTCGAAAAATTATATCTATAATATAAATCACAATAATTATAAAGATATATGTAAATAATATAACAGTACATAAAAACAATAAACGGGAATCTAAAATATCAAATCAATGAATGATATCTCTACTTACAGCATTATTATTTGATCCATATAACCATAATTTTATATAATTATTGCAAACAAATTATTTTCTTAAAATCAATCCTTTATATAGCACAATTCATAAATTATTTATAGACAATCAAATCTAAAAAAAAAAAATAATTGAAAAGAAAAAACCAAACACACAAGATATCACAAATAAGAAAAGACAAAAAAAAAAAAAAATGTTTATCATATTAAAATTTTATTATAGAATTTACCTGTGGACAGTCAAAAATAAAAATATATGAAAAAATACTCCAATGTTAAACATTTTCGTTCTATTTAAAACAAAAGCCTAATATCCATTGTGAGTTGTAGGCTTACTTATTATTTTGCTAATTGGGATTAAGAACACTGCATTATTAAATGATTTTAAGTTTCCATTTATCAATAATAATTTAGCTAAAAATAATTATTTAAAATGCTTTATTTAAAATTCTAATTTATTTATTATATCTACATAATGTTGCCCAATCCCCTTGTCTGTTTTAAAATTAACAATATTTTTAGTTATATAAATAGATACTAAAAACTTCCTTATTTTATTTATTGTCGTCAGCCATATTTAAAATTTCTATTTTATTATAATAAAAAATATGATTATCCATAATACTATGCCTTGCTAAAGCTGTCACATTGATATTTTTTGGTATTTATTTTATGCTGATTCACTAGCGGATCCACAATTTCATTTTGGGGGGAGGAGAGGAGGCTTCAGCCCAAAAGCTATTTTTTTTTTAAATATAACGAAAATTACTTAGAAAGAAAAAAGAAAGAAAGTAACTACCTATTCGAAATGGTGTTTAAATGATTCTTGAAGTTCTATTAAATGTAATTACACGAACAATAATACTTTTAGAGATCATATTTTGATATTTTTTCATAAGACATGGTAATATTTTACCAATATCGAGCTTCAGCCCGAAAGCCACTTTTTCTTTTATTTTCAACATTATTTATCTCCTGATAAATTTCGTACCAAAGCCTTTTTATATATTCGTTGAGGTAAAAATTATTACATAAAATTTAAAAAAAAAATCAGTTTTTATTTCTTTTAAATATTTCTCATCATTTAATGTTATGGATTTTTTAATTAAGTTTTTTGCTGTATTTTTAATTTGATGGTTCGGATGATTTGAATAATAATTAAGGATTATATCACTGAAGAGAAGAATAGTTGGGGTGCTCAGTCAAAAAGGAAGGCAAAAAATAAATTATAATATTTATTTTTTACATATACCGACGTTTCGACCTGAAGTTCAGGCCTTCATCAGGGCTTTCTCCTTAAGTGTCAAGGGGAGAATAATCTCCATTATTATTCTCATTATTCTCATTATTATTATTATATTCTCATTATTATTATTATATTATTATTATTATTATTATATTCGCATTATTCTCCCCTTGACACTTAAGGAGAAAGCCCTGATGAAGGCCTGAACTTCAGGTCGAAACGTCGGCATATGTAAAAAATAAATATTATAATTTATTTTTTGCCTTCCTTTTTGACTGAGCACCCCAACTATTCTTCTCTTCATTATCCACGACAGTCAACCAATTACCAATTATGATTATATCACTACTATTTTCTTTTTTTGTCCAAAATTTTCTTTTCAATTGTTTTTCTAGATTTGACTGTTCATAAATAACTTATGAATTTTATAATATGAAGGATTAGTTTTGAGAAAATAATTTTTTTACAATATGTATATAAATCTATGGTTAGATGAATCATATAATAATGCAGTAAGTAGATATATCATTCATTAATTTGATATCTTAAATTTCCCTTTATTGTTTTAATGTGTTGTTATATTTTAAAATTTAAAATTATTGTGATTTATAATATAGATATAATTTTTCGACATGAAAATGGAAAAAATTGCCCAAAACATCATCAACAAGCTGGAATGAATTAAAGTATTAAGTAAATATCTAAGGGTTAAAATAAATTGTTTTCCCTAGATATTATAAATTTTATTTATTAATATGTACCCTTAGAAATTTATGCACTACCTCTCTGCTCCTATTGGGTATACTGTTTATAATGTTTTCACTCATTTCACAAGAAATTTTGTACCATAAACATGTTAATACTGCTCTCAGTTGCTGAAGGTTAAGAAGCTGTAGATGGGGTTCAAAAAATTTTCTCTGCAGTGCATCCCACATTTGCTCCAATGACTTGCAGCAAATAGAGCACCATTTAGAGGCTTAACAACAGATTCCAAAATATTGTCCTGATAGTTTTTAGCAGCTGTTTTAACTCCTTTTTCACAAAAATGGAACTTTGTGGTCCCATCAAAGCAAACTCCCCACCAAGCCATCACTGAGGAAGGGTGATGACCTCTTTCCACTTTTCCAATGACTTGCTGAGCTTCTTTATAGCTGTTTGCGTACACACGATTATTTTGGTGATTAAATTTTTCTTCAATTGTAAAAATTTTCTCATCGGTAAACAAAATCTTTTGATGAAGACCATTGGTTTAACGGCCAAGGAGCTCTTTGTATCTATCTAATCTAATTTTTTTTTTTAGGGAAATGGTTTGCCTTTGTCTTGTCATTCTTCAAAATGCACCCATCCTAAGGTCACTTTTTATTATGCGAGACATTGATCTGACAGAGATTCCCATTTCCCAAGACATGATTTGTTGTTTTCAAATGGGATTTCTTCTGATTCGAGCAGCCACTGCTCTCACTGCATTTGCTGTTTTCACAGTGCGAGGATGGCCCGGTTGAGGTCTATCACATACAGTTAGGGTCTCATTATATCTATTTATAGTGCGGTATACGGATATACGGCTGTTACCCAAATGTTTCAAAGTGTTGAAAATCTGTAACCTACATTTTCCAACTTGTGTAAGATTCCAACTATTCGGTTTTCTTTATCACCCCATTCCATGTTAACTGAGCAAAATAAAAATAAAAACTAATTGGGATTATTATCCTGGCATGTAAAGAAAATAACCTGATAGAGGTAAGGATTATCTAAATAATACCCAAGGATGTAAACAAAGTTCAACTTTTGTAACAGTATTTATGGCATAACTAGGTGTATATATATTTTTTTTTTCTGTTGGCATTACAGACTATGTAGATCTTTTGCCACCTTAACAAGCCTGCTCCATCACTGCCTGTCTTGGGCTATTTCATTCCATTTATCTGCATGCAGCTCTGTTGCATCTTTGTTGATTCTATCTATCCTTCTGCTTTTTGCCCTTCCACGTGGTCTTTTGCCTTCTATTGAGGCATTCATTGTTATGTAGACGCTCCCAAATGGATTGCTACGAGCTACATGCCCCGTCCGTCTTATATATATATATTAAAAAATGTCAATATAATTGATACAATAAACTTCTGAAAAATTAAATATATTCGCCATTATACTATAAAAATTAAAAATTTGAATTTTAGCTACCTGATATGACCATATTCAGATATTCCATTTCATTCAAAGCCTTGTACGTAAGACCATTATTCTTTTCTATTTTTTCATTTATCTCTTTTATTAATTTTGATTGAATATCTTGGTGAAGAGCCAGTTCATAAATGCAGAAACTTTGCAATGAACTTGAGGTCTCAAATCCAGCAATAAAAAAGACAAAACATTGGGCTGCCATCAATTCTATTGTCATTTCTGAATAAAAAATTCTATAAATGTACCTTCCTACCAACAAATTCTGTATAATCAAGGAAATTTTTATTTAAAAAAAAAAGGAGAAAATTATTAAAGAATGATATAATGTTTGGAATTTTCAATGGAAAAAAGGTTATTGTAACATAAATAATGAAATTATTATACCAAATGGTTCTTCAGTTTCTTGTGCATCATCTCCCAAATTTCCTTTATTCTTTAAGTTTATTAACACATCTATGAAGTCATTTCTTACAATCCCATTATTTTCTCTTTGTTCTATTATACTTTTAACCAAGTTAATGACATAATTTTGTTCCTCTGATTCATTGGATCTGAAAAAAATAATTAATTTAGTATTTTTAAGATATATATATACACAATAATATATGCATTTTAAAATTTTCAGTAACTTAAGTTAACTCATTTATACAACTATTTTGACATAAAAGTGTTATGTAACTATGGTGTCAAAATGATTGTATTTCAATAAGATATTATACTTACAGTTACAGTTACACTTCTCAGTAAGATTACAGTTAACTATTTCAAAATATATTTCAAATAGTTCAATGTTCTGTTAGAATAGAGAATATATTTTTAAATGTAAACATTAAATTAAATTTAGACAAAACCAAATTTAAACACTCATATCTTCCAGATAAGCCATTTAATATAATCATTAAAACTGATTTAGACAATAGTAGATGTCATTATCCTTAATATTTTGAAATTTGATAATATAGTTGTCAACACTCAAAAAAAAGTTTTTTGTTTACCATGAGAGGTGGACAACCAGCTCCAACCACCGCAGATATGTTCTATTTTAATTCCTATTGATATTGAGAAAGCTCCCCACAATCCTAGTAGGGTTAAACAGCACAGCTTTCTGAACTTCAATTATAAAATGAGTTGGGAGGCCCAGTCTATCAGTAGCTTGTACAGTTACTGGACTAAACTTATACACTTTTTTTTTTTTTCAACTCTGCTGCTATACCTTGATACTTTCAAATTTTGTCTGCATAGACCGAGTTAATGTTTCTGTTGTTTGGTACAATGTCTATAATCACAGGCACCTAAATATTACCACAATTAATGCAATGCCAGGTTTGTTGTGAATCACAGAATGATATGTTATAAACAACTGATTCCAGTATAATTTAATCCCCTCTTTCCGGATGAGTTCTTTAGGGATGTATTCATCGTTCAAACCAATCGCTTAGTGATAGACAACTTCGTCATATCTTTTTAGGTATTCTGTTCCTGCAAGAGCTCCGCATCATCCAGTTATGTGTACAATGGATTCATATATGCTGGCACAGAGCCTACATTTGTCAGTTCAATTCTGTTGCTTTAAGACATGTCTCGATTAGGACCTTGTAACTATAACCTGGTCCTGGATTGCAATAAAAAAAAGCCTTCAGTCTCAGAGAACAGGCTTCCTCCAACCAGCCAGCAAACGGAGAAAGATTTATTTATTTCAGTATGCCGAAGCTGATCAAAAATAATTTCTATTTAATGCTTTTGACTTTTTTTTTTTTTTTTATATATTTAATTTTTTACAATTTGCACCTGCGCAGCTGCGCATCTAGCAAATTTGTTGTTTTTTTATTTTCTTTGTGTAATTGCTTGATTTTTTTTTATGTTGATGTTTTTATTGATGTAGTAGGTCTCTTGGCCATTTTCTTCTTAATCTTCGTTGCTCAGGTAACAGGGAGCAGGAGATAGAAAGAACCAGAGGATTGGAGTGATTTTGGGTTGAAGAATGAAATGTAGTGTATTTGTCGTGGATGTAGGATTTTACTGTTGGGGTGTTTAAGTCGTTATGTATAGTAGTGTTTGTAATGAACCAAAGTGCGTTAACAATTTTTCGTAAAATTTTTTATTGTGCTGTTTATATTTTGCTTATGTGTGTTTGTTTTGCTGAACCCCAAAGTTCTGCTCCATATGTCCATATTGGTCTCAGTAAGGTTTGTAGATAAGTCGCTTGTTTCGTAAGTTAAGTGAAGATCTGTAGTCCAGAAGATGTGAAAGTTGGCTATATCGTCTAGTAAGTTCTTGTCTTTTTAATTTCATATGTATGTTCCAAGTAAGTCTTTTGTCTAAGTAGAGCCCAAGGTAACGTACATAGTTCTTTGAAGGCACTGGATTATTGGCAATCGTTATGGGTGGACATGAGGCTTTCCTAAGTGAGAAACTGACGTGGGTGGATTTTTTACTATTAATTTTGATTCTCCAGTCACTGACAGTTAATTGACTTCTATTTTTAAAGTCAATCACTGCTGGTACTAATGATTGACTCAGGTTCTTGAGAGGCTAATTGTAGAGTAGCGTGTCAGCGATTAAGATTGCATATTATGTCATGCAATGGCACTTAGCTTTGTTTAAAGTATAGATCTCTAATTTCAAAGTACATAAGTGAAACAGTCTTACATTTACTTTTTTTATAAAAAAACAGATAGGGGATCTGGATATTAAAATAAAACAACATAATTAAGCTGAATAAATATGAAACACAGTAGATTAGGTTTTAGGTTTAACTTATATATAAATTATATTAATTTTATATAGTATTATTTTTATTTTTTCAAGTTTAAACAGTTTAAACTTCATGGGTCACTCAAATACCAACGGGTTAGTAAAAATGACATAGAGAGGCCATGGGGGCTTAAACCACGAATAGTCTACTGCCTGTATGTTGCAGTGGTTAGATCAATGTTTTTATACTCAGCTGTTGTCTGGTGGGATAGAGCAAGAATTGGCTGCAACAGCTTGACAAATTGCAAAGATTGGCCTGCCTAATGATAACAGGTCTAATGAAAACTACTACTGAAAACTGCTGTATGGAGGTAATGTTAGGACAGTTGGAGATTGAATCACAGGTCTTGAAAACTTTTTATAGGCTATCTATCTATCTATCTTAATGGCTCTACAACTCTCAGTGGGTCCTAGCCTCCTCTATGAGCTTCTGCCAAATTTTCTGATTTGATAGAAATTTAAAATCCACAGCTTTATCCAATCACAACAAAACAATAAAACAAATTTAAAATAATAACACATAAGAGCATAGAGTGCCCTTGAAAAGTACTATTGTAATAGCTAAATATATTGAAATTTATTTTCTGGAACCAATTTATTATCTAAATGAATTTGTTTGAATTGTCCCAAAATCTCACCCGATTCTTTAAATCAACATAAAATTTTCCAATTAAAATTGTTCGTAATTTCTATGCTTTATTAACAGATATCACCTACTCAATGATATCAAATATCACCTACAAGTTGTACAGTCTACAACAAAACAACTTTTAGCTTAGGTTTCATTTTAATTGAAAAAGGTGGATTATTTCTCAGAAATAAGCATTATAATAAATTAACTTTTTGTACTAGTAGTGTAGTATCAGTAATTATCAGTAAATTTTTTTTAAGAGCACCATTTTTTATATACTATATAACTTGGTCTGTCTTCAATGTTCCACAAGGTAAAAAATTCAGCGGACTCTGCTATTGGAACAAATTTTATTTCACTTGTATGTTGACTTTAATATTAAACTCATAGTTAAGCAAGTATGACGTGGTTATACTTTATTGCTTCTGAAGATTGAGTAAATATAAAGAAAAAAAAAAGGATATGGCAAGGAAATATATTAAGACACAGAAATCAAAAGTAATGAACCAATGGGTCTTTAGTTTCTCTCTATGGCCCTCCATACTACAATATAACTGGCCCGATGGGTCAATGTACAGTACTTTGACTATAATGTTAACTTGAGGGTGGGAATTTCATGTTATGGGCCAGATTTACCATGCTTCAAAAATGCAATGGTGTTTAAATATAGGCCTGTGCACCTAAATTAGGCATTAAAGTAATACATTTGCCTTAATATAAAATTTTATCATAATTTACTATCCTTTTGGTATGATGGAAATTTCATTATAAATATAAATTATATAAATACATATTATATTAACACAGATTATGCTTTTCATAAAAAAATATGAGGGAGTTCATATTTTAACTAATAGCATCCTACTTTTCATTGCATTAGTCTTTATATGAAAAGTTGTATAAATTTATCATTTTTAATCATTATAATGCACCAACCAGCTTCAGATATTAGCTCAAGAATAGCACTGTCACTTTTGTAAATCAGACCATACTTTTTTCGACCTCTACTTCTGTTTTATATTAATCTTTATAACATGAAAAATATTAGCTTAATAAAATACCTTGCAGGTAATATTGTTGACAATGCTGGAAATATTTGAGTCAAAGTATTTTTTAATTTTTTTAAAGTCTTTACTTTTACTCTTTCGATTCCAATCCTTCTAAGTTTGTTATCTGGGTTGTTCATAATATCAATTTCCAAGCCAAATGCACAGCTACTAATGACATCTGCTGTAAAACGACCTGCTAGTTCCTTTATATCAACTTTTGAATCAGCCATTGACAACAGAAGGGAGCTAAAATTCTGTAAGCAACAACCAAATAATTATTTAGTGCATTCTGGATATTTATAACAGGTTCTTATTTGTTCAATTGAAGATGTGGGTTCAATAAATTAGGCCATATTCCAAAAATATGTTGGTGTTCTGATCCTTCAATTTTTTTAATGAGGTGGGCTCAATTTTTGATAGTCATAAATTGTTCTATTTACTTTCTAGCCTTTGATCAACTGTTTCCTTTCTAAATGAATAATCACAAATAAATCTAAGTAGAATTTTGTAAACTAACATAAATTTGGTGGTAATGTGGTAATTATTTGGTGATAATGTAATAACTATTTGGTGATAATGTGGTAACTATTTGGTGGTAATGCGGTAACTATTTCGCAATTTTCAGCTGTGTTACTGTTTTTGTAATAGTTTACGTTTCTTTAGTTCGAAAAATTATGATAAATGGTTTACTGACACCATAGCATACAATCCCATATCATAATATTGTTTCAAATGGTGTCCCAGGAAAAACAAAAAAAGGGCACCTTATGCTTGCGGTACCAGAGTGTCCTGGCACCCATTCATTGTTACTTAGCATTACTTTCATGGGAGAATTAACCAACCTGGTTTTTATTGGTCAGCAAAACAATTGTTAAAACTTTACATTACCTTATTGTAATATACACCTTTATTGGAAGTGGGTGAAAATGATTTAATAAATTAATTTAACAGTTAAAAAGAAAGCTAATCTAGCTCTAATAGTTCAAGTAAAAGAAAATGGCTGTTCTGTTGTTTCTTCAGACAGAAAAATTCAAAAGAGAAGAAGGGACAAAGGATTTTTGTTCTGGCAAGCAATTGGTGTTTGGCTAGGGTGAAAAGAGGATGGGAGAAGGGATCCTGGCTGCAGTGGGTAAAACCAAATGATAGTATTACCATCTTGGAAGTTCTTGTTTGGCAGAGAGACTAGTTGTTTGGAATCAAAAGAGAGAGAATCTCCTAGGGAGCCTTGAATTGAGAAGAAGAAAGTGTCACCATTTTGGAAGATGTGTTTGGCAGAACATAGGAAAATTTTAGAACACAAATGAATTTAGTGCAACAAAGGATGAAACAGTATCCATAGAAAAAAGATTAGCTTACCTATTCATATTTGACTTTATTTTAAAATCAAATGGTGTTTAGTATAGTTACTTTTAGTTTGTATGAGTGTTTTGATAAAATTGTCAATAACACATACCTGAGATATAATAATTTTAAATTTCATTTTAATTTATTAATACTCTTGAAATTTTGTTTATTATTTAATAACCTCTTATTTATTTAGGAAGTATCCCAACAGTATAAAGTGATCTTCCACGAGGTTATATGATTAGTTAAAAATATAAGGGAGATATTACATGATATTCACATAACTTATTTAATAAAAACTTATGTGAACATACTTTTTGTATTTGATGTTACTTAATTATGTCTGCTACATAATTAATATCCTCATATATTCATGCGCATTTATTTAGCCGAGACTTTATATATTGGAAGTGCTTCACCCACACAATCTTCTCACATACTAATCTTATGCATCATCCAATTTGGTTTTCTTTCCTTTCTATTCTCATAATTTTCAGTTTGCCAACGTTTATCTTCATTACTTTTATTCAAGTTGTGAATATTTAACTCAGAGAAAAGTTAAGATAAATAATTTAAATATTATGTTAAATAGTGATTAATAACAAAAATTACAGTACTGCGGAATTAGAGTCCTGAAAATGAAGTAAGGTGCCTAAAATGTTAACATCGCTAATGTATGTGGTTTAGCAAATCAATCAATCAACACAAGTTTTACTCTATACCTATTCAAAAATTTTGAATACTTCGAACAATTTAGTTTAAAAGTAAGAGATAAACAATTTATAGATGATATAATTAAAAACAAAAATTACCTCAGCACAACTAATGATAAGGGGGAACATAGTTTTCAATTTTCCACTAGTAAATGTGGGAGTGAGTTTCATTCTTATAGCTTTCCACTTTTCTCCTTCAAGATTGAATAAGTGATGATTTATTGTATCTCTTTTCGGACTGTAAAACATTGACATTTTTTAAATACAACCTTCGGTTCATAAATTTAGAGATAATTTTAATTTTTTCTGTTGAGATTAATGAAACTTAATATAAAACATAAAAATAGAGTTAGGAGAAACAAAAAATTATTACAGTTTGAAAATGCCTCTATCTCTGAAGTGTGAAAATTCTTTAGTCAAAACCATCTGGATTAATTCTGGATCTTTTACTATCAGCATAGGTTTCCTTAGAACAACAATTCCAAACATTGGATGTGGAGCGAACTCGTGATACATCTAGAAACAGATCGTTATAGTATTTTATTTTTATATAGTTTACTTATGATAATTCATAATTCACATACCTTATCCATGGTGTAACCTTTAAATTTTTTTAATTTCACGAAATTCGGAGCACTACCATAAGGAAATTCAGCTGGGTAAAATGGTATACCCCTTTTCTTCCAGTAACTATAGTTGGATACCCAATGTTTGTAAAATAACCATAACAAGCCAACAATAATGACTACACCAACCAACATTTTGGATCTAAAATTTATGAAAAGATTCAATTAATAACAGTTGAATAGCTCATTTATTAAAACTCAGTGTAGGATATACCACTTCTGAATCTCAACTTTAGGATTATCAATACACTCAAGACTAATTTAATTGTAAGAAGGAAAAGGTTTATATATAATTATAAAGATTCACTAACAAATTGTAACAGTATATTTTAAAAATTGTTTATATTTCTTGTATTGTCTGAATAAAATACTATTTTAATGTTAAAAAGAATAGCATGAAGGTTGAAAGAGTTAATTAGGAAAAACAATTATCATATGCATGAGACTTCAGTGTTCATGACTTGTAGATAATACCAGTACCATATATATATATATATATATATATATATAGAAAAGTGGCGACCCCATGCGACTGTGACCCCAGTCATGTGACTGCAATCAGCCACTGGCTCTCCAGTTTGGGGGAACAATAACTCTGACAATCAGACAGTACACCATATACAGCACACTGCATACACCACACATTAACATTCAAAGGTCATCAACAGTACACACCCTAGGGTCACCTTCCCTAGGTAGCCGCCCCGGAAGGGAGACTGTGTCAGGATGCTGTAAGGAGGAAGCCCATACAGACACAAGCTGGACTGAACCTAAGGCAATGACACGGCACCCGTCTAATTCATTTTAAACTTGGAACATGGAACACTCCATCACTATACCTACCGGGAGCACTAAAGCAGCTCCTAACACAATTTGACTGATATAAAATAGACATAGCTGCGATCCAAGAAATTAGGTGGACAGGCCAGGGAATATTTAACAAGAAAAATCATGCTATCTATTACAGCTGTCATGACTATCTACATGCCTATGGATCTGGATTTGTCATCAATAAGAGGCTTGTGGCTCAACTCGTTGTTGGTTTAATGCTATTTCTATCCGAATAGGCTATCTCCGAATGAGAGGTAAATTCTATAATTTCAGCATTATAAACATCCATGCACCAACGGAGCCATCGGAAGAAGATGAAAAGGATCCGTTTTACCAAGATCTTGAAAGATGCATTGATAGCTGTCCGAGAGCTGATATTAAGATTGTGATTGGGGACTTCAATGCCCAAATAGGAAAAGAAGCTCAATACAGACACACAACAGGTAAACTTGTAGCCTCAAAAGATTTGGTGGTGGGAAGCACGAGGTTTCCCCATAAAAGGATTCATCTGGCAGTCTAACGATGGTGTCACTTGCAACCAGATAGACCATTTATTGATGTCCTCTAGACACATTTCAAGTCTGCAGGATATCAGAGTTTACAGAGGGGCAAACATCGACTCTGATCACTACCTCACAATCGCCCGGATCAGAGCTCAAATTTCAATGGTGCGAGTCCAGCGAAGAATGCAACAAGCCAGGTTTAACGTGGAGATGTTCAAAGATTATGAGAAGAGAGAAAGCTTCTCTAGGCATTTGAATCATAAGATAAGAAACCTCAGTGAATCCGGAGGCTTAAATCAACAATGGAATAGTAGCAGGAAAGCAATAGTGGAAGTCGCAAATGAAACAATTGGATATCAAGAAGTTACACGGAAAGCAGGATGGTACGATGAGGAGTGTCAGAAGATCACAATTATTAAGAATAAAGCTTATTGGCAGATGGTCCAGCGAAGACACACATGAACTTCTGTAGAAGAATACCGAGCCCGAAGAAGAGGAGAGAAAATACTCTTTCAGAGGAAGAAAAGGACCTGGGAAAGGAAACAACTGGAAGACATGGAGAACATAAGGGAGCCAAAATGATATCAGGAAATTCTACAACCGTATCAACCAGAGCCGAAGAACTTTCAAACCCCGGACCAGTGCTTGCAAGGACACAAAGAGCAACTTGGTCACTGACAAGAACAAAATAATGGAGCAATGGAAATTTTCAAAGGCTCTTAAATGACAATATCCTTTGCTGTAGAGTGGAGAGGCAGGAACTGTCGGTTGGCAATCTGGAGCATCCCGACATGGAAGATGTGGAAGACGCCATAGGATTCCTGAAAAAGAATAAAGCCCCTGGGACGGATGGGATACCCTCGGAACTGTTCAAGTATGGAGGGGAAAGATTTATTTATAATCTTATCACGGAAATATGGGCAGAAGAAGTATTACCAGATGATTGGTTCAAGACAATGATCTGCCCGATCCATAAGAAAGGTGATATCTTGGACTATCACAACTATCGTGGAATATCTCTGGCATCGTGTTTATAAAATTCACTCAAGAATCCTCTTTCAGAAGCTACTTCCGTTCGCTGAGAGAGAAATAGGAATATATCAGGCTGGATTCATGCGAGGAAGATCTACGGTCGATCAAATATTTGCTTTTAGAACAATCCTAGAGAGAGCAAGAGAGTATAATATATGCACACACTACTTCTTCGTAGACTTAGAGAGAGAGCTTCTGATAGCATCCTAAGAGATGAGCTCTACCACGATATGTTGGACCTGGGTATCCCAAGTAAACTTGTGCGACTGATACAAGTGAATGATATTCATTTTCAACCCGGATAAGTATTTTTCTTTTTTTCTCCTTTATTTAATTATTAAATTCTTCTAAAACTTATATTTAACATTTTTCCATAGCTCCTAACAATGATAAATAGTTATTATTTATAATAAACCAAATTGAAGGTACTTTAGTGGAAGACGTGTTAATATTTGGATTTCACAAAGGGAACATTCATCAAATTATTTACTAATTTAATTTTCTAAAAATGTAATTTTTTTAAGACAATTTTTTGGAATAAATGTTGATACCTAATTATTTAAATATAATATCAGATCTAAAATGATTAAATTACAGTAAATGTATTTAAGGTTATAAACATATGCTTTATACATCCATGAAATGATTTTACTTCTTCTTTCACTCAATAACAATGAAATGTTTTTTTTTAACAATGCCATTGACTTGATTAGGTAGATTTTAAATACCTTTTTCAATCTTAGAAAAACATAGAAGTTTCCAAATAGTAAGAAAGTTCCATTTAATTCGCTTGGTTAGGGATGATGGGGGGAACATATGATTTACGTTAAATAATGTTAGTTTTCTGAAATTATTATTTATAATGTTTTCGCCACTCTCCGTTACCTTCTACAACTTTCTATATTATATATTGTTTTTTTTTCTAAAATTTTCCGCTTTCCAACGATATATTATACGTATACCTCATGACTAGTATTTCCGTAGATTCATTCTCGGCCTGGATAAGCATTTTTATTTTTTTCTCTTTTATTCAATTATCAAATGTTATATTCAACTTTTTTTCGTAACTTTTAATAATGAAAGACATTTAATTATTTAATATGAACCACTTTAAAGGTACTTTAGAGGAAGACGTATATGAATATTGGCGTTGAAGCCCCGTAAAGTGACATCAATGGGGATAAGACCTACATGATATTAAATACCACTTAATTATACACTGATACACCGAGGTTAATCAAAATCATTAGAGCCGTTTTTGAGAAAATTGTAAAAATGTGTTTCAGCTTCGATATAAAATTGCACTTCCTGTCAGCCGATTTTAAGGAAAAAGTTGCTAGGACATCTAAGGTATATATCTATCTTAAATATGTAATATCAGTTTTGTATGACTTTTCGTTTTCGAGCTAGAGTGCTCACATACCCACAGACACACTAACCATTTTTCGGGACTTGGTTATTTGGACTCAGGGTACCTCAAAACGTTTACTTTCGTTGAAAACTCAGACTCGAAACTTTTCACGATCGCAAAAATCACCTTTATTATATATTACATACATAGGTAACTGAAAGTAAAAAAACCAAGAATACTTGAAAAATGTTTTTGTTATTTTGAGATTATTTTGCATCATTCATGGATTTCACTGAGAGCACTAGCGGACCCAGGATTTCATTTTGGGGGTGGGCTTCAGCACGAAAGGTTTTTTGTTCATATATATAACGATAACTACTCTAAAAAAAAAAGAAAGATACTGTCTACATATATGAAAAGGTGTTTATGTGATTTTTAAAATCCTATTAAATGTAATTACACGAACAATAATACTTTAAGAGATATTATAAGGCCCCCCCCCCTCGTAGATCCGCCTGTGACTGAGAGTAAAATAACTGATAAATTATTTATCTGTTTCGCTCATATAATTGTTACCTACCTTAAAACAGTATGGTTAAACACAGTAACCCTCCGCGTGACTTCCGATTACTTACAGGTTAAAAAGTATAAATAAAAAAGAAGAAGATTTGTATGGAGGGGAGTCCTATTCAGACTGAGAATAAACGAAAATATTTCCCTAATTTTATATAGTCCCTCTAATAACGTGAATGCAAAGATTAACATGATTTGTTCCCACATCTTAATAATTCGGTGAATTATTCATTACTAATTGCTTCCCCAACCAAATTCTATCCACTAGTAATAGAATAATAATTTTATAAGGAAAAAAATACCATAAAACACCTCACCTTCAGATCTAAAATTTCTCATTTTAGTTGAAATAAGTTAAAAGTTTCGTTTTATAAAAATAATAAATACAAATTTAAAAGCTAAGAATAAAGATTATTACTAAAATAAAAATCAGCCATAAAAGTAAAAAAATCTAGTGAGCGCAACAAACATAACTTACCGCTCAGCTTTGAATAGGAATTATTTTCTGGCCATGTTGGGCTATTATAAAATTGTTAAATTGAATTTATACTATTAAAATAACAAAAGTCATATTTAATATATCACCGATCGATTATGGATTATACGATTCGTTGATTATGGATTGTTCGATCCGTTGATGATGGATTGTACTACTATTAGTCATTAAACTGTCATTTTCCATTGCAAAGTTTATTAAAACGAAATTAAGAGATTTGCATTGTCTGTCATAGACAGGTCAAAAGTTGTCACACTAATTGTAAGTGGATTCTGTTGGAATATCGTAAACGGAAAATTTATCAAATTATTCACTGATTTAATTTTCTAAAAGGTTACTCTATGATTTTTCGGAATAACTGGACAATAGATACCTAATTATTTAAATATAATGTCAGATCTAGTGTTATTAAACTACAGTAAATATATTTAAGGTTATAAGCGTATCCATGAAATATTTTAATATTTCACTTCTTCTTTCACACAAGCACTATGAAATATTATCTTAAATAATGTCATTGCCTTAAATACTTTTTCAAACTTTTAAAAGTTTACATTTAGTAAGAAAATTTCATTTAATTTCCTTGAAAACATGTTATTATTTATATTTTTTTCGCCACTCTTCTTTACCTCCTACAACTTTCTATATTAGACATTGTTTTTTTTTTCTAAAATTCTCCGCTTTTCAACGATATATTATACGGGATTAATGAGTTAAAAGACCTTCTCCCCCTCCCCCACGGGCAGCGTGACGCAAACTCATAATAATTTTTATTGTCTCTAACTTCGGTTATCATGTTGCCGGGCAACTCGCAGTGATTGATATGCACACTCATTAGTCCGCACGGCTACCCCGCCCCTGGTGTAAACAAAGGCAGTTTTGGTTTGGGTGAAGTTACCCAGACAGCAGTAGTCTTTTGTCCCCTATAGTGTGATGTTTCTGTAGAGGAATAAAAGGTATGTTGTGTAGTTGTGATATAAAGTTTTTTATCAGAGCCTGATTTGTTTCCTGAAGTAATTTCCTAATATTAAGTAGTGTAATCTCTTGTGAGTTGTAAATTAAGGATAATGAGTGCTGAAGAGTTGAAAACTGCCAAATAGTTAACAAAGCCTCATTTGTTTCCTGAAGTGATTTCCTAATATTAAATTATAGCATCTCTTGTGTGGGAAATTAAGGATAATGAGTGCTGAAAACTGCCAAATTAGAAAGAGCTCAGTGGAGACATTTATTTACAACTTTAGCTATTTCAGTAGAATAAAAAATAGCTGAAAATGATCCCGAGTTAAAAAAGGAATTTAGAAAACTAGAAGCAAGAGCTAAATATTTATTAGAGTTTGAGGTAAACGTAAGATCTTTGATACTAGTTGATGAAAAAGAACTGGAGAATGAATTCGATGTATCCATAAGTTATCAGTACAAGTGGATAGATATAAAAAATAAATTTGAGGTTTAGTTGAGCATTCAAATAAAACTTGGCATGGTGATGATATTTGAGCAACTATCAGTTCTTCAAGAGAGAAATCACAGAAAGAAAAGGAAGAAATACTTTCATGTAATCTTTATGGGATTGTTGAAACAAAAGTTGAGCAAGATGTCAAACTTGAAAGTTTAACAGGTAAATTATCTGGTTAAGCGAAGTTGGAAAACATAAAAATTTTCAGTGATATCACTATATCAAAGTATGAATGCCTAGAGATATTAGAATAAAAGAATATAACATGGAGTGATGCCGATGGTGGGAGAGACAAGCAAGAAGTAGAGTTGATTCTTGCAGCAGATGTCATGGAACAAAACGTGACAATAAGGTTAGTACCAACTACTGAAAATTCGATAGCCACAGAAACTAGTTTGGATATTCATTGGCCAAATTAAAACACAGACCTGTTCCATGCCAAGAACACCTACGAGAGGGAGACCTTTACAGCGCTTTGACTCTAGTGCAAGTGAGTTTCACCATTCAGGGCAAGCTGGAATATTTTCGACCCATTACAATGGTTTTCTAAGAGGTCATCTAAATTATGGCACTATCAAGAAGACAGGATCAGTACCAGTTAAAACAATAATTCCACGCATTGTATTACCCCCTGGAGTAAAAACATCTGTCACACCTGCAGCTCGAAACAGTATTCCCAGGAGCATCACAAGATATAATATCAGGACTGTCGTCAGCCAAAGATCTCCTTCAGAACCAGATCTTAGTCAGAAAAGTACAAGGAGAGGAGGGCAAGTAACAACTGATGTTGCGAATAATTCTTCATTGTCCTCTAAAGAAGTTTTCCAAAACTGGAAGAGAAGAAAAAAAAAACAGCTAAGCACAGTAGTGTATCTCGGAATGTTATTAGTCAGTGATCTTATCAAGACTAAAAAAGGAGCATAAAGCATTTTTTGAAGTAGTTTATTAAGTGTTATTAATTAATGCTTTAACTTGTAAATTTTTGTATGGTATATTTTAAATTTTGATTTGTTATTTGAAACTAGCTAACAATTTAAAGCATAAATTGTAAAGGTGGGAGTGTGCAAAGTTAATGCATGATATCAGGCAGCACTGCTAAGCTATTGTAAACAAAGGCAGGTTGGCATGGGTGAGGTTGCGGAGAGACAGTAGTAGTACTTTGTTCCTGATAGTGTGATGGTTATGTAGAGGATTAAAGGTGTTTTGTGTATTTGTGGTGTAAAAGTTTATCAATGTAGGCTCATTTGTTTCCTGGAGTGATTTCCTGACATCATATAGTGGCATCCCTTGTGTAGGAAATTAAGGATAATGAGGGCTGAAGAGTTGAAAACTGCCAAATAGTTAACAAAGCCTCATTTATTTCCTGAAGTGATTTCCTAATATTAAAGTTACTATAATGAAAATTCTGCTCAAAAGAAGCGGACACTCACGGAGAATCAAAAATTGCCTGTTATGGAGAGATGTCCGTTTTAGAAAAATTGGAAGAAAAACATGTTAAAAAAATAACAATTAGAAAACTTAAATTGTATTTTAAAATTTATATCGTCAAAATAGAATCTTTTATTCTATTAAAAATATTTTTATGAGAAATTTAATAATAAATTTTGCATGATAAAATTGCACATAAGAGACGTAAACTTTTTTTAATATAGAAAAAAGAAAAGTAATTTGTAATTTTTGTTCGGACTACTATAACTATTTTGTTTTCCAAATTTTTATGGATAGATAAAATCGATATAATTATTTCACTTCCTCCTTCAAAATTAAATTGTTTCTCAGCCAACTAATTAGTGAGAAAACTTATTTAATATTCAATCAGAGATCATGAAAATGTCAGCTCAAAGGTATAAATGTTCGAAATGATTGTGCGAACGCTGGAGGGTCAAGATACAAGTCTGGCGAAATCATCCAAGTTACTGCAACAACAGCATAACTTGAAAGACATTATTTCTTTGAATTGAAATTTCTGTGTTTGGCCCGCTGTCACAGTATTCCTTATTTTTTTAAATGTTTAACCACTAAATTTTAATCGAGTGGCAAAATTGCGAATACTGAACTTTCTGATACACTCATTATTTCCATAACTTTATCTTTGAAATTTAATCGGAACCATGTTGACATATTACAATCAAATGTGAATAAATGGCAGCAAAAGGTTAAGACTCTAAATTCTATTTCAAACCAAGCGACATTAAAGTGAATTAATGTTCTCAGAATATGAGCTTCACAATATCCGTACAGTGATCGCTAACTGGATATTTTTGGCTATAATTCTATAAATCCGTTATTTTTAATCATATTTCCTTGTTTCTTCGTTTCGTAGCAAAACTATTTTATGAGATATGAATATATTATCATAAATAATATATGAAAATACAAAAATAAATGACGGTGTGGTAGGTAATTGAAATATCTTATTATAAAATTCATTTGTTTTCCGATTATTAGAAATTCTTGTTTTAGCTTCTAAATACTTTATATATATATATATATATATATATATATATATATATATATATATATATATATATATATATTTGCGTCAAGAGTCAAATAAGATATTATAATTTATGTTTTTTATCTTAATAAATTTGAAATTTGGGTTCATTCTACTGAAAAACTAGTTTCTCGAAAACTGATTACTTTTTTATTGTAAATTGCCGAAAATATCAATATTATTAGACTTTCCGCAAGCAAAATAATATTTTTTGATTCTTGTACATGAAACAGGATTCAGAGAACTTCCACATAAAATTCAGTATGAAGTTATTTTATCTTACCTTATTTTTTAAACGCTTTTTTTTTACTCATACCGGTTAATTATCGTCCATTGTTCTTTATTTTCCTTATAGTTCTTCATTCTTATAATTTCTCATTATTTTACTGTACATCCTACCGATTTTGTATCTTTCCTTTTGTCTTATGACGCAGTACTACATTAACGTTTATTGCTATTCTGGTCATAATAGTTATTATAATTTACTAATAATTTAATTATATAATTAATGATTTAAGTTTGCCTTCGATTGAGAACCGTCGTTAACAGGTATTGAGAAACGTCGACAAATATTAATTGCAAAAGGCCTCAAGTCAACGGTGGAAACTATTGTTTGTTAATTATTGATGTAGACATCTCAATGAAGGTTTTCGAACAATTTTCAACGAATGGATGGAATC